TGCAAATGCAAACTAATTCATTAAGCTTGTTTTGCCCCCAGAAAACTGTAATTCTCCCTGGATAAAACAGTACACGTGTTTAAATATGCAAAATGCAATTGCGGCACAGGCTCATGGAGGGATGATATGCAACTCATCTGTGACTACAGGCTGGGTTTTCCCAGTGCCACATAGATCAGGGGTGTCTGATCACATCTGTGCATTAGGATAAACACCAACCACATGCACTAATAATCAGCTCTACAACAATGGCTTTTTGGCATGCAATGTGAATTCCAATTTGCATGTTAATTATTTTGGAGAAAGATTGGCAGAGTGCCTTGGTAAAAGTCATTTTCATTGTACATCCAAAATGCTGATTTCCACACGTTTCTCATTTTCAAACCTGGAATCATGCTTCCCTTTTAACACTCAGACAAAATGTAAGTGACAAATATTTTAATTCAGTCCTTCAGTCAACATTGTTGAGATCCCAATATATGCCAACCACTTAAAAAAAATTTTCTATGGAAACTTAAGATATCTCCCTGTCCACAAAGAGTTTATAATCTGTAAGACTTGCGAAATCAAAAGTTGCTTTGTTTGTTTATCTAGTGAAGGAAACATAAAATGCCATAGCAAAATCCATCCTCAATATAAACTGCTGTGCCCCTATCCAAAAAGCTGTATGGGTGTCAGCTGCCTTACATCTGCCCAAGTTCGGCATTCTCCAATACTTTTCTGTAGGGTATTATTGTATTGTTAGGTGCTGTGGAGTTGTTGCAGCCACAGCATCGATGCGTTTCCTTGACAGTCTTCCTCTTCTTCATTGACCTTCTACATTACCAAGCATAATGTCCTGTTCCAGGGAGTTGCCTCTTCTAATAATATGGCCAAAGAACTGGAGACAGAGGAAGGTGGAATTCCAGGCCCTGTCCTGCAGGGTTGCGGTGCATAGGAGCCAGCTCCACAGCAGTGTGTTTGGTTTAGGCTAGAATAGCACCCTGCTGACAAGCATTGAAGCAAGATATTTTGGGGTCTAGCTCTTTATTCTCTTAATCAGTCTAGTGATTTTTATTCATCTTGCTTGTATGTTTTGTTTTGTTTTCCTCGTTTATAAGGTATTTAATGCCTTTGTAAGAACTAAGCAAAACTAATAGCACACAACTATTTTTTTTCCCTCCTGGGAGAGAATTTTAATGATAAACTATAGAACTGAGTTCAGTCCATTAATGTGAACCGCACTTGGATTTTGCAAACTGAATTGTGACTAAAATTTAGGAGTAAATAGTTCATTCAACTTTTGCCTACCCAGTGAAATAGAAAAATTAAAGAAATACTTGAATTCCCAAACCATTTCAGTTTATGATAAATGTTGGTTCCTACCATCTTATAGGACCTTCTCCTAGTAATGCTTCCTTGGTACTGAGCAGGAGACTCCTAAATTGCCTCAAAGTAAAACATTTCCCCAATTTTGTGTTCAGTAATTTAAGCAGTTCCAGTCACATTGGGAATGTAGTTCTATTTGGGTCGGAAAGACAGCATAATGCCAGAGGAAAGCAACAAATTTGGGATTATTTCTTCTACTCATTCAATGTATTTTTATAGTCATGTGATTTGACCTAGGCACAAAGCTGAAAAATCTTTTCTACTATAGATACTGTCAAACTCACTTTATTTTGGGGGGCCGGGGGGGATATGTGCCTTACGTGTGTGCCTCAGAT